CAGCTTCATGAGTAGGAGGTGGCAAGGGATCCTGGAGGAAAGAGCAAGCATGAAAAAAGAATAAACTAATCATTTCTGCCCAGTGGGTTCTGCTTGCTTAGCTTCTCCATCTTCAGCGGGCTTCTCAGCCTGACACCACTATAGAATCAAGAGGCTCAGACCTACTGCCACAAGTGTCCCCCTACCACAGCCTTCCCAACTGCATGAGCAGGAGGCGCTTTGGGCTCCTGGGAAATAGATAAATAGTTTGCAAACACCTTTGCAAACACGCAATAAAACAATATAAAGCTTTATAACCTATCTAGGCAACAGAAGCGGGTTGTTCCTCGACTGCCGGTGGCTGAGCTTCTCCAACATGACCAGCACCCTGGCAACCACTCTAGAATCGAGGGGTCTATGCCTATGCCTACCATTTCATCAATGATTAGTTGGTAGAAAGGACAAAAAACTTTTTCCCCAAACTCGCGCACCAGGAGTATTGTCATAGTGAGAATGACAGCTCCGAAACTAAATTAAACATACCACATCAATTGGAAACTTGGAGCCTTGATGTGATTCCAGAACTATGCGCAATGTCTCCCAGCCCAGGACTCAGGACAGGTCACTGGGCATCAGGAGTAGGTAGCATTGAGTCCATGCTTTGAGAACCGCATTGCAAAAGCCAGCTGGATACTCCGCTGACTGCGCCAGTGTCTTGCACCCTGACCAGCCAATCTCACCACTAGGCCTATCGCAGTGCTTGTAGTAAACCTTCGGGTTCTTGCGCTTAGCATTCCGGCGGCGCAATCGCTCCTGCACCGGAATGAAACAAACCTGGAGGTTTCGGGGCTTGCTTATAGAAGGAATTGATAAGATATATATATTTATATATAAGATATTAAAAGATTATAATAGGATATAAAAGGACCCAACAAAATTCAAAAGATTCCAAAAGAACAAATGCCCTTTCCTTGAAGCGAATCCGGTCTTTCGTCTTCAAAGTTCGCTTGAGTTGCGTGGTTGTCCTAAAAGGCTCTATAAATATATATATATATGGAATATAATATAGGTGCGCTGTATGTGTGTCTGTGTGTCTTCTTGGCCCATGACCCACAGGCGGAGTGCCGTTCCTGTGAAGACGGCAAGCGGTGAGGGGCTCATTAGAGTTTTGCGCGGACCAGGAATGCCCTGATCTGCAGTCACACTAAGGAGGCCATCGCTACTAGGTTGGAGGCCATCGCTCTTAGAAACATAGAAAACAGAAAAGGAAGAAGCGTCGTCGATATTTGATAGTTTGCACCTGTATGCTCGTCGTAGTCAAGTCCAAGAGGTGGCTGCTGTGGAACTTCAGGCAGCAACTGGGTCCAAGGGCGCTGCGCAACTGTCCCAAATGAGACTGATCCATAAAGCATACTGTATCTCAAAATGAGCATTGTGAAGCAACCTGGATGTGCAAATTTCTGCATTGCTACGATCTGTGTTCCCTACCACACCATCCAAACGAAGAACAAGCTCTTCATCGAAAAGGCCTGTCCAATCATGAAAATGGTTTGATCATGTTTGATCTGGATCCATTTGTGAAGCTAGCAGACTTGCTGTTGGCCTTCAAACACCTCGTCTGCAAATTGGTTCGGGCGCTTGGCAACCGCCTGCCGGCGACGTTGTTCAGTTGAGCTTGCGTGGCATCGTGTGATGTATTCTCTTGTTTTGTGGAATTCCAGCAGCATCCCACTCCTTAGTCTCATTGTCTTCACCGGCATCTGCGAGCCCCAAATGACCACCTGAATTCATTCTACACAGCGCGATGCCCATTGTTTCAGCTGAGCTGAGACTCAGAACTGAACTGACGTAAATCTTGCAGGGCATGAGTCTCCCACAAACACTGTAGGGACGAGCAATCTGGCCTTCGCGGTCTGCCTGCAAATGGTGCTCGCTGATATGAGGTGAATGCAAACCAAACCGAGCCAAACCGTCATAATACACGCTGATACTTACTGCAACATGAGATTCGGAACTGCTGGGTGCTGGGTGCAAGGGTCAAAATCAGTTGTCTGTGGGTGTGATGCACAAGCCCGAGCCTGCAGGCCACTCTGGTTAGCTGAGGAGGCGTCACCGACGATTAAGTCAAATGCCTAATGTTGGGCCAATAATTCCGAGCGCTACACCGTCAAAGCGAACAGACTCACTGAACAAATCCAAGTGATCTCGGCTTTGCACCATATCTCCGATCTGCTTCGAACGGGTCTTCTCGACCATCCTAAGAGGCTAGCTGGTTGGTTTCAAAAGCAAAAAACTTTCAATTGCAGAGTCCAGTCTCCGGTCCAGTTCCCTTCACTTACCTAGCTTTCTTGCACATTTGTGGACCACCTGCATGACATCCTGAACCGCTTGAAATATGACTGAGGTCTCAACTGGCCTTCTTTCTTGTCAAGAAGCCTTATCCGTATCCCAACAAGGTGAGCTAGGCTTCATGAGCTCACTTGCAACTTTGATCAACATTGAGGCCATTATCCCAGCAGTCGACAGGAAATTCCTTGAGTAGGTGGAACAAAGGCTTTAGTGCGGTGCTGGCCACGGCCATCTCTGGCAAGCAAGTATCGACCTCAATCGCAATCAATCGCTAGCGCACTAGGATTGAAGCAGCTGAGTCCAACAGTCCAATCACTAGTAGCAGGTGCATCCCTATTAGCAACAAGTGCATCGCTATTAGTAGCAGGTGCATCGCTATTAGTAGCAGGTGCCTCGCTATTAGTTGCAAGTGCATCGCTATTAGTAGCAGGTGCATCGCTATTAGTGCTAGGTGCAGTGCATCGCTATTAGTAGCAGGTGCCTCGCTATTAGTAACAAGTGCCTCACTACTAGATCTATTAGTAGCAGGTGCATCGCTATTAGTGTCAGGTGCAGTGCATC